GACACCCACTGACAAGCTTATTCCTCTCAAGAGGTTCACTACACTACAGGTCAACAATCTCAGAAATTTTTTTCCTGTTAACCATGTAATTATTTCTAAAACATTTCTGCAATTCAAAATGCTTAATTATATAAAAATTTAGGAATAAGTAGACTGCAGTCCATTTTAAATTGCAGCTCACTCCTAATCTGCTAGTAGCCCTTATAAACCACATCCTGCATGTGAATTTGACATCAATCCACGAGCAGAATTCAGTCCACAGAAACTTTAGCTCCACCCAGGGTGAACTGCACTATAAATTACAAATTAATCCATCTTACACCATACATCTTCACATCTGAAATGTCTTATATTAGGGATCCAAGTCTACGCTACTTACATCTGTATACAAAGAAAAGTAAACAAATATGGTCTATGATGCTCTCATCTCTCTCTTTTCTCTTTCTCTGTAGATGTGAAGTTGTACTGTACCGTAAATTTGTGATGGAAAACTACGTCAACATCCCTTGGTTTACATATAACAACACATCACAGTAAAAATCCCTAAATTTTTCTTCTGTATATTCCAAATTATGTGCACGTACGGATAATACGGATGAAGGGTGATCAGACCGTTTAGAGTAGAGTTTCATTTTATAGGGTACCCTCACCCTCGGGATTGACCAATTGTGGTAATACAATTGTTGTTTTTTTTGTCAATCCCACATCATTTCATTTCTTGTATGGCATTGGCATAGCCTTTGAAATGTCAAACTGTTCTCCCTCGGCCCAATTAAGTATTAACATAAGGCCTGTCTTTTGGGTTCATGACAGAGTTGGTGGACCATCTCGGTTGGACCGTCCACTGCAAGGCTGCAGCTACCTTGGAAGATTGTTCCGGCCCAATGTGCAGATAGATTCATGTTAACCATTTCACTTCAGTAAAAAGGCTGTTTTCCCCTTGGCCCAATAGTAGTAAATTGTTTACAATTTTGGAATTCTCTCACCTGTGTATCAACTAGTGCTCTCATACTTTATAGTTTATACTTATTCACATATGGTAAAGGATGAATATTACATTAGTCAATATTACTCTCAACCACTGGCGGAGACAGGAATTTTCTTTTGGGGTCAAGTTAAATAAGAAAATTGAAATAACAAGTAAAAGAGGTACGATTTCAAGAGAAATGGGGTGGGAAGGTTTGAATCTATTACGAACTATTTTAAAGAAAGAATAAACATTATTATTATTATTATTATTATTTAATTTTGTGAATTAGGAGCATTATAGAGTGATCCTTAACATTTCAGTTCAAGTTCACGGAGAACCCACTTTACTACGCCTCCACTTACTAGTTATGTAAGTGATGATTTTAACAAAAAGTTTGGGCCCCCCCACCATATACTTGGCTCTGCCCCTCCTCTTAACCCTAAAATAGGTTTTTATGGACCTGTGCTTGCTTATTCTTTAACATGCTCCTGAATGCAAAAGCCTATTGGACTTTGGAAGCATTTATAGGCACAGGCCCATTTATACATTGTGTTTAAATTTAATTAATTATAATGAGTTTATATCTGTGCCCCACATCCCACAGTACATCCCCGCCATGTATTAGGAATATCTTCCGATGATAATATCAGAACCAATGATATCATTATCGAGAGATATTTCCAATATACGGCAAGAATGTGCTGTGGGATGTTGTGGGGCGCCCCCCTTGAGTGGCACATATCTGAACTCAATTATAATGGGGTGATGAGAATTGAACACTAAAAGCATATCATCTCAAAAACTATTAAGCTGTTAGAAGATAAGGTCTCTGAATTGGTTTCTCTAACAATTACTTTAGCTCTTGGAGAAAGCATTTGATGGATACATTATTGCTATGAAAAGTCTCAAGTGATCTTCATTCAAGGGGTCCACCACCGGCTCAAACAACCAGAACTAGCTCCATATTGTCAAACAACAATTAATGACTTAATGTCATGGGTTTGATCGCAACCCCACCTATCAGAGAAATGCCAAAAAGAAAAATAAAACCAGTCTTGTGTTAGTGGTTGATACAGCAATAGATTTGCATGGACCATATTTTATTAATTCCCCAAACAAGTACTAAGAGAGACGCAGCCCAAGTTTGGAGCTTAATTGTATGTAGATTTCTAGCTAGTTTTTTTTTTTTTTTTTTTTCAGCGCCCCTTTTCACAGCCCTGGCATCAGACATTCAAAAGTAGGCCAGGAGATGTTTCTCCACTAACGGGTTCTTCTTGTCCCAGAATTGGGAATTCAGTGGAGAGGTTTGAAAAGCTGAACAAAACCAACCACAAGTGTCGTTTTGCTCTTGGTGTTGCTTGAGGAAAGGGGACGAGATACACGCTCCTGTGTGTTTGTGTGTTGTTGGAAGCTTTTCGGTGTGATTAAGATACCCTTTTGGGAGTCATAAACAGAGAGTCAGCCATAGTAATATATTATTATGGGCTTAGGCCATTTCTCTCTTGGGTCGGCTTCTCCTAAGAATCAATCCCTCTCGGTGACCCAAAACTTCAGAAATGAGAAGTAAAACCCCTCTCTTTTGTCCATATCCTTTTATATCTTCCAACCAGACATGAGCATATTGACATTTTTCTTTGAAATCTGTACCAATAAGTTGCATGGAAAAAAGGTGGTAATTAAATTGCTTTTGTCCTTCCCTCCCTCATTTCAAAATCTCTCTCTCTTAATCTATTATATTGTTAGTAGTTTAGGAATCATTAATCTACTTGATTTGGTAGATAAAGACCATTTGATTAGAACAGGGTTAATGACCATGTAGCATGCAGGTCACACTATTGTGGGTCCACTAGCTCTTGGCCCTAAGTTTTTGCCTATCTTAAGATTCAGAAGTTATGTTATTCGTACCGGATTATGCCTGGTTTTCCATTATAACTTCTCACTTTCTCAGTAGTGGGCTTTTAAAAGAAAAGGAGAGAGAAGAGCTTAGAGGGACATTGCAATATGGTCTCTAAGTTGTAGTACTAGGGTGTATACTGTTCCTTTTATATGTCTCAATTTGTTATCAGATATATCATACCCATTAACCCATAATCATTCAATAAAGATGAACCATCACCATCTATTAGATTAATTGTGGGTAGGGCCCTTAGAGGTGGAGATTGGACACACTAGTGCCCTGAACTCTTGATACAGAGGTACTGTGCAGCATAAAAAGCTTGATCTACCCACTTGATTAAGGGTCCAAGTTTTTAGGTCCTCTTTGTGCTATTTAAGTAAAAAAGAAAATCATAGGAATTGACTAGTCACTGCATTGTTATGAGAATTAAAACAGATGGGAGGGTCTCAATTTGATTGCTGGATTCTGCTATCTTCAATGTTCAACAAGTTTGCTCTGGTTCTATCCCTTTCAGACAAGTCCAGAAGGAGGGAGTGTTTACAGTGCAAAGGAAGGTGAGCCACACTGCACCACAAGGCCTAGTCTTTATCAGAGACGCCCAAATTGGAACGCCCCACACAAGCACTAGGCCTCCATCAGTAATTAAACCATTTGCCTGACTGGGTTCCCTGCTACCTGATATCCTGCAGATGGGAATGTTCCCCTTTAGTAGTGCTAACTAATTAGAATGAAATAATTGAGGGAGGATTATAAACAAGATAATCCTCATTTGGATTTGGTTGCCTTTTTAATTATTTTGAAGGATTTCAGTTGATTAAATGAGACAGAGAGCATCATTTTGCTTGTTCTTTCATGCCAGAAGCTTATCACATGACTGGGTTGTTCTAAATTTCTAATTTGGTTGGTGACATGATCTGATGCTTAGTACAAACTACAAACCAAAGGGGTTTCTCCTTCAGCCATTCTCATTTAATTTATAGATCAAAACATCAGATGAAGGGATTGGATTCACATGGCAAACAAATGGGGTCAGGGAGGGGTGAGAAAAGAAAATCAGTTCTGGTGTCAATAGACATGGTCGAAACACTAGAGTAATGTCTTGTCTGTTGGATGCAATGTGCCATGGTCCATCAATCAACTGCTTGATCAAAGGGAATCTGCACACAGTACTCAATCTTTCATTACCCATTTGTTTATTGGAACCTAATCTAAATAAACAGTAACCCCACTATTATCATACTTATTTTAGACTACAAAACTTTATATATTATAAGAATTGGTTGATGCTCATTCAACCTAAGCTATAGATTCAATGCATCTAAGTAAGGCTCTAAGTACTTACCAAGAGAAAACAAAGTAAGGTTATGAGAATAGGGTTCCCTCTCTCTCTCTCGAGCAGTGCAATAGTAATATCTATTAGATAAATAGAGATTAAATGGGCTTGGATGGGTAGGTTTAGGTAGATGAAGGTTTAATGGTGGGCTGTGGGTTTTCTATTAATTTCTAAAATAGGGCTCCAAATTGGTGTGTTTTGAGTTGACTGAGCATGCAGGCAATGTATGGCATGGCTGAGAAGATTATTACCAAAAGTATCATAGAACCGGGGCTATCAGACCAAACCATCATCATCTCATCATCTGTGATGTGTCCCATCCTTGAGATATCAATATCAATCTCTCCTTTCTTAGTTTTTGAATTTTAAATTTTATCGTACTGCTTCACCTTTTTCCTTCTCTTTTGCTGGCAAAAACAAATCCTATACTAGGTCACTTTTGATCCTGGTCCCCCCACCCCAACCCCATATGTACTACCTTATTACGGTGGATGATATTTACTGGATAACTAAACAAGGAAAAATGTACCCAGATTTGGCATCTGTTTGACCTTCATTTTTTATATTCTTCATAAAAAAAAGAAGAAAACAAACGCTTTGGATCGAGGTAATCAGTTTGTCAAACCAAACGTATTTCTGAAAAGGTAAAGAAATACTGATTTACGTTGAAAGGTATAGATTTTAATTTCTCTCTCCTCTCGTATTCAGACAGTGAAAAGAGACGAAAATAGAAACAAGCCATCAGACTTTCTTTTAAATCTTTCTCTCTCTCTCTCTCTTTCTCGCTAAAAAAAGGATTCCTTTTTGTATTTATATTCAAACATTCGCCATCTTTTCTTCTACTCTTTCTGTTTCTCCCCTTCCTTCCACCCATCAGTCATCACACCCTCTTTTTTCTAATGGAGGCCAAGTTTAAGCTGCGAATCTCTCGCATGTTTCGTTCTTCATTCGGGTCTTGTAAGCCTCGAAACGTATCGGATGTCATCGAAAGGCCTGTTTTCGTCGCTGAGAACAGCCGGGACTTCCATCTGCTCGAACCTTTGTCTCCTAAGGTTCGAATATTTCCTTCTATGTGCAGGCCCAGATGGCCGGAAACAACAGAGACGAACGGAAACGACAGTGTCGTACCAAAGGAGGTGTTTCAGAGGGGGAAAATATCGGAACGTAGTCCATGTTTCGTGAGGCCAGGTGATATGGAGGGAAGAACATGTCCTCCTGCATCGCCCATTTCGCCTCTGAATTCGTTTTACAACTTCGAGGAATTCCAACCCAGGGAGAGAAAGAAACGATCGAAGAAGAGTAGGAAGACCCAGAGAAAGAACAAGAAGAAAGAGAGTTGCTGCCATCTCAGCTCGTCTTCTCCAGAAACTAATGGTGGGTGGTTCAGCAGTGACGACGAAATAGAAGACGAGACGGAAACGTTCTTCTCTTCTGATTCCTCGGAGTCTCATCGCCTGAACAAGAGGAGTTCTCGCCGGAGAGCCGCCGGAGCTCAACGGAGAAAAGTAGTGAGCAGGAATTCTGATATGGGTCTTTGCACGTTTTCCACCAAGGGCAAATTACAGGAGAGCTTTGCAGTGGTGAAGAGTTCCAGCGATCCTTACAGTGATTTTAGGACATCCATGGTGGAGATGATCATAGAAAAGCAGATATTTGCCGCAAAGGATCTCGAGCAGCTTTTGCAGTGCTTTCTATCGTTGAACTCCTTTCATCATCATAAAGTGATCGTGGAGGTGTTTTCAGAGATATGGGAAGCTTTATTCTCTAACTTGTATTGAAGAAATTTGCTGTTTCTTCTGGATCATGTTATAGTTACAGTTAGGTGTAGTCAAGAAAGTAGCTAGCTTTTCCTTCTTGTTTCTGTTGCTCACTCTCTGGCAGATCTAACTGTTATTAACTGTGTCAATTAATTAATGGTACTCTTATTTTGGTCTTTTTCTCGTAAAACTTTGGATGGGTTCTTCTTATTTTCTCCTTCAATTTCAAATTGATGAAGGGGATAAGCTGCAGAAAAGGCGAAGCAGAGGAGAAGCTGTCTTGCTTCTAAACTGTTATTTTCTTGCAGTTTTGGAGAGATAGTTGAAGGAAAAGAAACGACGAAAGTTGTCTTGGATCTTCCTTTTTGAGAACTGAGACTTGGGGTGGAGTTTCCACGGATGTAACATCGAAAAAAGCAGTCCAGAAGCGACGAATTGATCCGGAGAAAACGTTACTGAGTGTCTCGATTTCTTCTGTGATTGGACTTCTGATTTTCCTTTACACATCTAACAGTCTCCTCCATGCAACCAAAAGCAACGCAAATTTGTCCAACATTAATTTTCGTGGTTTAGTTGGATCCGTTCTGATTATAATTTTTGTTTACATTAGATGGGCCCAATATTAGTGACCCACTAATATTTTTTGAACAAAAAAAAAAAAAAAGTGTAAGTGACCCACTAAGATCGATCGTGCTTGTGAAGAAATCATACTGTAGCCCGTTAACTTGACCCACAACCATATAAACCGGCCCATAAATTACTCTAAACCCTCATTTCCCTAATTAATAGTGGAATTGATGGGCCCACTAATATAAACCGGCCCATAAATGTTGTCTCTAGTCTCTACTCATTTGATTCGGATCAGATGAATGTGTGTTTATCTCTGATTCTCTGCCGACAAAGAGATATGTGACTTAAAAAAATATAATGAAAATCTGGAGTATAAGAAAGTTTGGACAACAAAATTTAGTTAGTGATCCTTTTTTTTCTCTTAATGTTTCCATTAATTTAATTAAATAAATACGCCCAATATAATAATATATAAAAAAATAACAACGTAGAATCTGGGGTGGTTTCTTTTATATGAGAAGAGGGGCAGAAGGAAACAGCTGCAGCCGCTACCTAAACAAAAGCTAGTGCGAAGTAAAAACTTTATTAGCGTTTAGTGAAGCTCGGCGCTATCTGCGTTTGATTGATCATTTATGGTGTAACAACAAGATGGGTAAATGTATTTACTCGCATAAATATTTTTCAAGAAAAATTTATCTAAGTAATTATATTTATCCGGATAAATAATTTATCGGGGTCTAAATTGAATACACCAGATGATTTGCTTTTTTATTAATTAGGTTGGGTTATCGGCGTATCCATATATTTTTATTGGTGGGTAGCAAGAATCTGTTGCAATCAAAGATGCTGCTAACTCATTCCCCTTAGCAGTAGTTAACAGCTTTGCTCGTAGCTAGACTGTCTGTCTCATCATCATCATCTGGACACATATTTGCCTTGGCCATTGAGACTTGAGAGTTAAGGCATTGGCATTGCAAGACCAAGACGTCGCTGTTGGGTAGATCAGACGTTTCTGGGCCTTCTGGCTACTGCTTTGAAGAATGTTTGTTGGGAAGGTAAGACACGGTTGCTTCTTCTGGATAACCTTCTTTTCATTAATGCCACCCTTTCTTTTTCTTTTTATACGTTCACCCACCTCTCTCTCTCTCTCTCTGAAGAATTGGGAAAGAAGGGTGTGTGTAACACACGATACGTAATATAGGTATCTCGAGTCTGAACCATCTACCATACATTATGTGGGGATTATCCAGCGAACACCAACCCACGGTCCCCACTCAATGATAAAGGAAATTTGGTATTAGTGCTAACTAATTAATCCCATCTGTTAAATAACACCAATCCAATGGTTAAAGATGCCCCATCATGTCATTGGGTCCTTTATCTAATTAATTCATCAATTGGCTCCAATATATATGAACCCTATCAACCCACCCTCATCTCTGATTTGATTCAATCCTTTTTTGATCAATAATGATTCGATTTTATCCAAATCCCAACAATCAAGGTTCAAAGTATCCGGTGCTTTTTTGTGTGTGGTGTATTTTATTTTATTTTTTTCAAATCTGGTTCAAAGGGATTGGTTAAGACCTGTTTATCTTTTGAATCATGGTCTGACCTGAAACACTCCTTGTAGGAGTGTATTAGATAGGCTACAATATAATATGTATCGACTGATACAGATCGATACGTAACGATATTGTAAACCTTATCAACAATATTTAAATAAAAATACATATATAATATGTATTTATTAATAAAATTGAGCTTGAAAATGTTGCATTGTTAACTAACCTGTTTGAAAGAAAAAACTATTCCTGAGTGAAGGATAAGATTGAAAAGAATCCAAGTATTAATAAATCAAATTTGGAACGCGGTTTATTCTATTTGATCATCCACCACCCTCCAAGAAAAGAACAAAGAAAATATAAAGATGGGGATGGATATTGACGTGGCAAAAAAATCAATAGAGCGTTGGAACTCAAAAACTTGCATAATCCAAACTAAAAACTTCTTCCACACTCGATCCCACAGTGTTGAGAGATGTCCCTTTCACTTCTCTGCAGCCCAAGGGCCACTAACGAGTAACGACTAACGTTAGTTTGGGAGTTGAGCAAAACTCCAGTACTCCAACTTCGGTAGAATAGAAATTTGATGACTGATGTTATGTGTTGCGTTATAAATTTGTTACTTATATATTAAAGATAATGTAAGAGATGGTTTTGAAAACCGGATTGGATTATTGGACCGGTTGACCTGGGAACCAGTCATAGGTCGGGTCTGGTTTTATATCTTAAAACCATCCAAACCGGGTTTAAACTGGACTATCTGGACCATTTGACTCAAGAACCGGTGGCCAAAATGTGATTCCATTTCCGGTCTGATTTTCAAAACCACGATGTAACATCAATCAAGCCATATTTAGATTGGGTATGTTCACTCTACAAGTATACGTCACTCCCATACCAATTACTATTAGATCTTCCCCCAGTTTTGTCTAACATCAAAAACCCATTGATTTGGTCAAAGATTAATTGACCCGGGTAGTTGAACCATTGATACCTCTAACCTATGGGTCAACCCTAACCTGAATATTTAGAGTTAGGATCTAGCCTCTGCCAACCCAATCCGAACCCAGCCAGCCCAGTCTACTTGGACCTATGAGAAGAAATTGTAGAGAGGAAAACAACATGAATCAACCATGAGACCACATTGGTGGGTTATATGACTGACATGAAGAGATGGATTGGATGATCAACCAAATTAACACTTGCTTCCTGCAAAAGAGTCAATATCTGATCTTTTTTGTAAGCGAGATTGAAAAACAAAAGATAGAAAAGAGAAACTGAAAATCCATGAAGATCCATCCGAATATTAAATTCCAAAGAGTGATACGAAAGAGAAGAGCAAGAAATCGGCTAACCTTTTATGATGATAAAGGAGTGTGCAATGATTTTAAATGGAGATTCAAGAAATAATTCAGAATTGACATGGATGAAATTTTTTTCTGCAAGGACTAGAGAGCATATAGTTTTAATTTTTTAGAAAAAAAGATAAGAAAACAGTGAAAAATAAAATTAAAAAAAATCAAATCCTAAGCTCAATTGCTCAAAGCCATGGCGTTATTCTCTCTTCGAACAAATAGGGTTTTTTTGTTTGGAATTTTTATCTTGATTCCTTTGAATGGGCAGATAAAGCTAATGGAGTTTTTTTCCGTTTTAAATCATTATTATTTATAATTTATTAAATAAAATTGTAATATCTCAAAAATCTAATTATCATGATGGATAATTGCTTTGCTCCTACACGGGTATTTTCTTGCCCGTTAATATCTCAAAAAATAAAATTATGATAAATTTAGTCGGAAATGAAAGGGCTTCGTCCAAGTTGAAGAATGAGAAAGGGGTTTGTCCTGTTCAAACTTGAATTCTGCTATTTTTTATTTTCAATGAAAATTTAAATAACAATATCCCATCCATCGGTGAAAAGGTTTTCTAACAGACAAAACTTCTGATGGGTTGCAATTTCAGTGGACTCGAAGACGTTCAGTTTTGTCTCACGCCCCGTTCTTGCTAATTTTCAAGGTTCAAAATATCGATACCTCTGATACGCCGGTATGAGTGTATCGGGCAAATCGATACAGTATTTCAGGCCCTTTTTTTTTCGCAACCGGTTCAGGGGGGCCAGTTTAGGTTTTCTCTACCCCCTGAACTGGTTAGACCTCAGATACACCAACTGTAAGGGCATATCGAAGGAGTTCCGAAATAATACGTATCGGCCAATACTGTCGATACTTTGAACCTTGTTAATGTTTATAGTCTTATGGCCTCTTTGGTTGATTGAAATGCAGGTCTGGAATCGGAATTGGAATGGCCATCCCCTCCCCCTCCCTTGGGAACGAGATTCCATTGCAGTCATTTATTATGATAATAAGAAGGGATAAGGAGGTTTAGTGTTTTAAAAACAAGTCAAACAGGTTAGTTCAGACAATAATCAAATTTAGAATTTGGTGCAATGAAATCTCATTCCCAAGGAAAGGGGAGAAAATGGTCATCCTTCAAATAGGGAAATGCCATTGGAAACGGAATAAAATTCTGATTCCACCCAAATGACCCAACTAAATGGTTAGAATCAGAGTGTCCATTCCTATTCAGATTCTCAGCCTCCATTGCCACAAACCAAAAGGGCCCTAAGGTAAAGGGCTCAGATCTGCTGCCTAACAATTATTCCCACATCCTTGCCCACAGGACATTACAGGTGCACATCGATAATATCTCCTGTCATTCATGGAGATGTTCCCCATACACGTTGATAGTATTCTGTAGGTATAGATGTGAACAATTTGTGAGTAGCAAATTCGGAGTGCTTGATTAAAACCTCCACACGGTACACATGGGAAATAGTAGCCCAATCCCTCGCCTATTCTGATCGGCATTTTTGAACTCCATTCCAGAAAAAATGAAATAATTAAATAGATATGATGGGCCTTTACCAAGAAAGACACGATTCCAGGTCCCAATAAAATGGAAATGAGAGAAGTTGGCTTTTACTTTTTCGGAAAAGTATAGACAAGCATAATGCAGATTTCTGAATTCCACTGCAAATCTACAAACAAAATTTTAAAAACCCACACTCTATGCATCCATACTCGCCGGTGAATTAGCATCAATTCCAAGCTGATACCTACCCCAAATTAGACCTATTCATGGGCCGGACTAGCCCGTTTGGCCCGGCCCCCAGACAGGCTTGAATATGTTTATAAGCCCACAGGCTTAAACCCAAGACAAAAAGCCCAACCCGCAATAAATTCGAGCCAAGCTCAGGTTTTGTCAAAATAACCTAACTCGGCCCCGGACGGGCTTGAACATGTTTATAGGCCCACGGGCTTAAATCAGAGCCAAAAAGCCCAGCCCACAATAAATTCAAAACGGGCTCAGGTTTTGTCAAAATAACCCAACCCGACCCGACCTAAAATTAGACTTAAAATGAATTATGTAATTATGTCCATTTGAATAATTTTTTTGATTTAAGAATGTAAAAGCGTGTTTTAAAACATAAAAGAAAAGAAAAAAAAACCATCTTGTAAGCCCATTGTTCATTTAAATAGGAAAAAAACCATCTGAATTTTTAATTCTAATTTGAATAGGGAAAATTGTATTTTTTTTTATTAGGTCAGGCTTCGGGCTCAAGCTCAGGCTTTTTATCAGGGCCAGGCTTGGACCCAAGTTATAGGCCCGTTGGTCAGGCCAAGCTCAGGCTCGAGCCTAACGTATGTCCATTAATAATCAGTAAAAGCCCAGCCCGGCCCGGCCCATGAACAGGTCTACCCCAAATGTACTTTGAGCCTATAAATTCTGACCATGGGCTGAACCGTCATTTACCAAGAGGCTCAACCGCTTATTTGCAATGGATGACGTGGGTAATATATTTATTAAGAAAAATTACAAGTCTCTTTGCAGATTTAAGGGGAAGAAATTATCTTTGCAGAAGATGGGAAAAGAGGCTTCTCTTAAGAATACTGAATACTATGACTATGCTCATGGCCCATAGCTATCCTAGGTGATTTGAGAAAATAGTACAATCGTATACTATATTAATCTGAATACTTGTGTAGAATGACCTAACCCCTGATACATAGGGCTCAGTTCGGAAGGAGTACAAATACAAATTTGTGGAGTACAAAGCCTTGTATTTTGTCTGTACATATTTGTATTTATACTCCTTCCAAACTGAGCAGAGGTGCCAGACAACAAGATCTCAACTATCCAAAGCACCGTTCAATACCCAATTTCTCCAATGGGGGGGGGGGTGCTTCCTATTTGCATAGAAATTGAATCAGACACAAGATAAATGGAAGAACAAATGTAAGCACAAATGCCCAGAAAAGTATATGTTATTGGATGACCTAAAATAACAATATCAAGATCTTCATGCAGTTAACCAGTTCTAGATATCATTGATATTGAACATTATTCAGAGTACAGGTAAAGGTTTTGCTGAATAACTATGATGAAAAGTCCACTCCTAAAAAATTGCAGAAAATGAGTCCTCTTAATATAAACCCAAAAAATTCAGAGCAACTTGATTGGCTTCTCTAAAAATGCTCAAAGCAAACATCAATAAAATGTGGACTACATGAACAATATTACCACATGGCATGTTACTGGAAGAAGTGGTTTTCCAGTCTCTGCATATCGTTTGCAAATTGTAAGGGGGAAAAAAAGAAAAAAAAAGAGATACCGTGCACCTTTTAAAAACACCTCAACTGATTACTTTTGAAACTACACCAGCACCAACTGTTCTACCTCCCTCTCTCAGAGCAAATCTTTGTCCTGTTAAATCATTTAAATATGGAAGAAAAAGGTTAAAAGAACTGAAGCTCAAATTTCAAACCCCACCGTCTCTTTTAACATGAATAAATAAAACTTGGGAAATTTCACCAATGTAAACTATAACCATCTAGTAAACTAAAACTATTGAATTAGAAAATTAGTTAGAAATTAAAGATCAAATACTCGTCTGAAGCACGAACATAGACATGCATCAAAGCTTTAATTGAAAAAGAAACAAGAAAAGCAGCCAATACTAAATTACCCAAACATGAATTTCTCATACAATCCTACAGTATCCCATCTACAGTGTTGCAAGATGCAACCTGGCTATACATTTCTACAATGTCCATGTTGCAGATGCAGGAAGTGCAAGCCTCCAGACCAGTAACCTATAATAATTCTAAAATATATCCTCTATCATTTCTATTTATAGAAATTCACAGCAATGAAGATTATAAAACAGAAAACATAGGGGAAGCATGATACTCGCAACATCAAGTAATGAAAACAGAATAAAGAAATTTTCACCTTAAAAAAATGGTTTATGGAATCTTTGAAAGATAAGAAACACATAAGATTTGAATTATTGTTCACCTATATAATAATTCTTAAATATAGCTTGAACCACTTCTATTTATAGAAATTCATACCAACAAAGATAATAAAACTGTTAAGTAAAGGAGGCAAGATATTCATAGCATCAAGCGATAAAAACACAATATAAGAATAATACAACCTAAAAAATTGGGATCTTTGAAAGATTGGAAAGATGTAGGCTCATCAAGCCATTTTCATGCAATATAAAAAGTTTTCAAAGGATGGCAATGGCATTTGAAACACTACCTGCTTCAAGTGGAACAGGTGATATCAGCTCAAAAACTGCAGTTACATTGTCACCAGGCATCACCATCTTAACACTTTCAGGTAATTCAACTTTTCCGGTCACATCTGCAGTTCTCAAGTAAAACTGAGGCCTATAATTTGAAAAAAAGGCAGTATGACGGCCACCTTCATCCTTTGTTAGGACATATATCTCTGCCTCAAACCTCTTGTATGTTTTCAGAGTACCAGGTTTAGCAACCACCTATGACCATTAAAGTACCATACAAGAATAGTGTAAGCCAATCAAGATGTAACCTTTTATGAATTGAAAGCAGCTTGAGTGAAACTACTTTTAAGAAAACATATTATTAAAGTGTGGACTTGGAAATCAAGAATCATTACAACATTAATAAAGAAAAGGAATCCTAGTTTTTTTTCTCTAGAAATCTCAACATGTCCATTAGCTGCTTAATGGGCAATGGCAAAACCAAGAAAAATCCTATGTGACAAGGCAATCCATTTCCTGAAAGCCATGTTGGAGAGTCTCTTATTCACTTTCTATACACATGCCAAGAGTTGTACAATGGCCAATGTATCCATGATTCTTACATGTCTAGCTTTGACCACTAACAATATGCCAATATATGTTATATAGGTCTATAAAGAACAGTAGGAAAAATAAAATGAAGATCAGTTATGCATATTCAATCTTTTTAATTGGTAAATAAGAATATTTATTTACCATATAAAAATGGTTTTTATCCTACAATGTTTGTTAACTACAGTTTTCCACACTTAATATTATGCTTGTGTGAAAGCTAGTTTGGTGATACTCACCTGTCCTCTTTGCACATCTTCACGTTTTAAACCACGCAGGAGAAGGCCCACATTGTCTCCAGCCTAAATGATGATGAAAACATATCATACCAATTTGCTACAGGAATTAGTAGTATGGATTGCAATAAGAAACCAGCACTTACTTGTCCATGATCCAAAATCTTCTTGAACATTTCTACACCTGTCACTGTAGTCTTCAGAGGTCCACCCTGAACAAATAAATGACTACTATAAGCACCAAACACTACGAGTACCAGCAGTTCAGGGTTATCAGCTGTTTGGTGATTCACAGCATCAATTAAAAGATCCAGCTATAATAGTACCTGCATCAATCCTAAAATCTCAACATCCTCTCCAACTTTAATAGTCCCTTGCTCAACACGGCCCGTGACAACAGTTCCACGTCCCTTTAATAGCAATAGTACAGATCAAAACCACAAGTTATATAATAAAATATCCTGAAGCCTGCCAACTCAACTCTATCTCAACATACACACTAGTATCATTAACAAATCAGATCAATTTAATGAGAAAAAAATGGTTATACAACTTTTAAAGGGCTTGGTGAACATGTTTGCAGATATTTCCACCCAGTAATCACTTGTCTATTTCAATAGCTTAATTGAACTCAGAAACTACGAAAGCAAAATGTGATGAAAAAAGTCATAGCACAAATTTCCAAGCCATGTATTTTAAGGAATCTAAATACCAACAAGGTATCACCCAACAGAAAGAACAAGGAACAGCAAATCCTCCTTCCAGCATGGCATACTCGTTCAATAGAAACAATTGCAAAATATATTTGCAGTTACCTGAATTGAGAAAACATCTTCAATTGGCATCAAGAAAGGTTTGTCAAGTTGGCGAACAGGTTCAGGTATGTACTCATCCACAGCATCCATTAATTTTAGTATGGCTTTCTTGCCTATTTCCTCATTTGTCCCATTTAAGGCATTCAGAGCTGAACCTCGGATAATTGGAATCTCATCACCAGGGAACTTGTAGAAATTAAGAAGCTCTGCCAAAAAAATAGATTAATTAATGTAAAAGATTCACTGAAGCAATGAAGTGACTGAAGCCATTAAATCACTTAACTAATACATGCATTATGGCTCCAATGCTCACATACCACGAAGTTCCATTTCCACAAGTTCAAGTAATTCTGGATCATCAACTGCATCAACCTTATTTAGAAAGCACACAAGTGATGGCACACCAACCTGAATAATGCATATAATTCTTTTAGTAAAAAGAAAATTACAGTCAAAAGAACCATAAGAACATAATGCCAAGCACAGAAATTTTGTAACATGCAGATTAGGAACTCAGCATGCATTACAGGCAGCCACCAATATGCTTACTCACTTGGCGTGCAAGCAGAATGTGTTCCTTTGTCTGTGGCATGGGCCCATCTGGGGCCGAAACCACTAGAATGCCTCCATCCATTTGGGCAGCTCCAGTAATCATGTTCTGAAAACAACCAAAGTGTCAGAATATGGCATAATTACCTAAAAATGCTCCATCCAAAAAAAATATATCATTGACATGGATATAGAATGAATATTTTATCCAACACTGGAGCAGTAGTGAAAGGATCTCAGCACATGCATAGAAGACCACCTACTGCACCATGGAGTAACCTGAAGAAGTTTCTTGTTCTAGAACTGGAAGAACTAAGGTTCAGAAAGGAAAAATTATCTGATGGCCAAAAGATTGATGAAGGATAAGACCTGTACGTTGTATAGAACAGTTGTAAGGCCAGCTATGTTGTATGGAGCAGAGTGTTTGACGGTTAAAAAACAGAATGTCCAAAAAATGAGTGTCACAGAAATGTGAATGCTTAGATGGATGATTGGTAAAACTAGGAAGGATAGGGTTAGAAAAGAATTCATATGGAGGAACCTAGGAATAGCACCAATACACCAATAGGTCATAAAATGAGAGAAGTAGATTGAGAGATGGTTTCACATGTAAAGAAGACAATCTACAGCATCTTCTAGAAACAGTGATGTATTAGAAGTTGAAGGAGCTAGAAGAGCTAGTAGGAGATTGAAAAGGACTTGGGTGGAAGTAACAAGAAATGATTTAACCATCCATAATTTAACAATGGATAATGGCATTGAACACAAAGGAACAGCGAAACAGGATTTTCTTTTTTTTTTATCGACAACTATTAACTTTATTGATTATGAAGAAAAGAACACCATACATGAAGGGAGAGATTCCGTTGCTCTACTCAGGTCTTTAGGAGTTGGGGACTCTATCAGAGCTATTAACTGCTGTACAAAGGGGTGCAATTTGCAAGCCAGCTGGGGGTACAGCATTTAATAATTGAAGGGGATTCCAAAGTGGTGGTGAGCTGGTTGAAAAATCCTGAAGATGCTATATGGCGCTACAAGAATGAAATGAAGAAATTCAGTTGGTTGACAAGGAATATGTTGGTCTCTTTACAGTGGATGGGGAGATCAGCAAATACTTTGTCCGATGTGTTAGCCAAGCAAGGGGTAAATAGGGAAGAATTGTTTTGGGCTCAGCTGTGGTTCCTGTATTTCTTTCCTAGTTTACTTGTAAGATTCAAGGAGGGGCTGCAGCTCGCACCTCTCCCTGGGATGTTGTATGAATTCACAACTTAAATCAGCTTTTGAATTAATAAAATGTACTACTGTTCATCAAAAAACAGAATACCATACATGAATAGTATGTATTGCTACAGCAATGATAGTTTGTTGGAATTAAAGGGTTTCTTTATTGCTACAGCAATGATAGTTTGTCTAACAGAAATTAGGAAAAATATTCCAAGATATTTTGCCTTTTCTTCTGTTAATTTTCTTTTGGATGTTATTCATCAAGCTAGGGTTTCTTTCCATAATGCCCTCCCCATGAAAGTAGTACTGTATAAGCAAGGAGTACATAGAACTCGATTGTTTGGGCTCAATTATAACAGGGTGATGAGATCTTTTTGTTGTAAAGGGTTTCAGTTCTAACAACCTCTTGTTGTAATCTCTTTCTCTTTAAGTTTTAATACAATATCCAGGTTATTCATAAAAAAAATGCATTATAAGCACCTATATCCATATATAAAGGGAGCATGATTAATTATTTGTCCCCTATATACTCCCTACCTAGGCAATTGAACTCCAAGAACACCTGTGTGGTCTAGTTAGTGCTTTATCTACTCTGTGCAATAGGCTGTTTGGAACCTCCAACTGTATCATAACCTGAACAACCACAAAACCAATTACACTCAAGCTGTGATAGGGCCAACTGAATGAAGTCAATCCTAATGCTGATAAATTGATAATAAACAGGTTTTGCAAATGGAATCAGGAGTCTTTGTCATACTTTATTGATTCCATGTTAGTTCTTCTCCCTCTTTTCCCACAAATTTAGTGTAAAGTTCAAAGTTACAACAATATTGGCATTTAGTGTAAAAGTCCTTTGATTAAATCTTAACAATCACCTAACCATATGATAATGTTGTTTAGGCAATATGGTGATCTTTTGGGTTCATCTTTGGAGATCACTGGGTTATGCCTAGCAGTAGGCAGTGCCTTCGACAAGTGGACCAAGTAAGAACTGGGAAACATACTTGAACACGATTTCTCTAGAATTGACCTGGAGCATCTTCATCTTGAAAAGATCAAAATAAACCAATGTGTGCTTGAGAACTAAACCAAGACATGTAAGATGCTGTTTGAGATGAAGTATAGAAGCAACTGTTTTTTGTTCTCCACTATGACAGTTTCTGGGAATTCTTTTCATTCTTTTGTGCTAAAGGAAAGCCATAAGTCAGCAGTTATTTTACCACAAAAACTAAGCCTCTTGTCCTTGCTAGTTTTTCCTTTTCCTAATATAGGTTCTTTATCGTGGTTTATCACACTGTAATAAAATACCTTTCTTTAAAAAGGAAGCAGAGGATGAATGACAAATATAACCCATTAAAACAATTCCAAAACATTTGAGCACTTACTTTAACATAGTCTGCATGTCCAGGACAATCCACATGTGCATAATGCCGCTTAGCAGTTTCATATTCCACATGGGCCTGCAAAAATCACATTAAGAAATAAGGAACAATACTATTTTGCCAATATTACACATTTTTAGAATACCAATTTGTTGGTGAAAATGTGAAAGAAGACCTAGTGCTGTATCATACTATTTTTTTTGATAAGTAATATCGTACTATTTAAACCATAATTATATTTGAACACCACGAAAGCAAGCAATAATTCTAACCGTTGCAATGGTAATCCCTCTCTTTTTCTCCTCGGGAGCCTTGTCAATCTCATCAAATGCAATTGCTTTAGCTTTACCTTCTTCTGCTAGCACCTGAAAGAGAAGCTCCACTATAATCAATAAAGAGTCCAAACAATTGATGCAATCATAACTATAAGAAGAAAACTTCCAAGCCTGATCAAAAAAAGAAGAAAATTCAAGTTCCAACCTATTACTAAATCTAATCAGAGCAGCAATACTGATACATGTTGTGAGAGTATTGGTAGTGTTTTTATGCTGTTTTCAGTTATTGTTTAGCGTTGCTTTTGTCACTAGTGATAAGGGTATTACTGTAATTTTCTTTTCTTTTAAATATATGTATAATTAGCAACGAAAGGTGCACACAGCCCCAAGATGTTCTCTTCTCCAGTTTTCTTTTCTTCACCACATTCTTCTTCTCTTTTTCTTTTTCTTCACTTCTGTACAGCTTTCTATTGATTTACTTGCTAATCATTTATCAAATTTATGGTGTTACACATGACAAGTTAGTATTATGTCCAGGTTATGATCTTGGAACCATGAGATTACGGGAAGAGGTGAAAAAAATACACAGAAAAATCTACCCTTGTTTTTTTTTTGAGAGAAAAGGTTAACTTTCATTAAATGAACAAAGGATGTACACAAAGCTTCAGTCAAACCAAAACCAAAAAAGGAAATCCCCCAAGGAGTTATGAAGGCATTGAGGAATCACTACGCAAAAAAAAAAATCCCCCCCCCCCGATTTACCCAAAAACTCAGCCACTCTATTCAGTCAGCTCTCTAGGAATCCTTCTAAAACAACAAAAAACAAAGGACAAAATTTCTTTGATTTCATTAAAGATAAAGCTGAATCTCCAAAGTCCATCTTTTAAATCCTTCATCCAACCGATAACCATTTTAGCGTCTCCTTCCACCACCAGTTCAGTTAAGTTCAGATTAGCCACAGATCTCAAGTCCACTAAAAAGGCACATTTTTCAGCATCAACTGAGTCTGTTATACCAATTGACCCACTGAAGGCCATAACGGCTCACCATTAACTTTAATAATTTGACCCCCAATTGCAGCATAACCCCTATGGATCAAAACACTTCTGCAGCTGCTGTCAAACTGATGAATAAAGTCCACAGGAGATCTGGGAGAAAGGCTAGAAGAAATAGGAGGCACCAAACATGAGGAGTTTAGAACCTGCCACAGATTTCTTTCCTAATTGCCAAAGGGTATATCTCCAACAGCTTGTGGGCTTTCAACCAACCATTAATCAGGAACAGGATTCTCAATTTCAAGCCTTCTAAGGATGAACATCCCTTCAAAAATCCTTTTATTCAGCCCCTCCCAAATGCTCCACATTACAGCATGCACACCACCTTAACATACAGTCTACCTCTATTTTCCGACCTACAACCCAGCCATTGGTTGAGAAAATCTCCAACATATGGAGGTGGAGCCCAGGAGAAAGTGCTGTTACAAAAGACATTGAGGAAAAATTACCAAAGACTTATTTATCAAAAAAAAATTACCAAAGACTTATCTATCAAAAAAATTGCCAATGACTGTGAGGTAATTCACAGTTGATAAGAAGATGACCAGAAGATTCCCCTTCCTTTAGGCAAAATAAGCACACATGAAGGGCAAGGTACAAATAACCCTTTCTCTTCCTCAAGATTCTATCAAAAGTATTAATGCCACCACGAGCCACCTCCCATATAAAGAAGCAAATTCTAGGAGGAACCACAAGCCAAATTGAGGAAAAAAGAATTAACTGTGAACTGCTCATTAGAAGAACTGAAGAAGGCCACCAAATTCTTTTGTTAGGAAGATCTGGGGCAATAAAGACAAGAGGAAAGAGAGTTAAAGAAGAGTGAGATTCAGAACTTGTTAGAGCTCTATGGATGTTGAAATTGAAAGAAAGTTCTTGCTCCCCTCTAGAAATGATCGAGGAGATGAAGGGTTCCTTGTCCCGGGAGAGACTAAAAAGGTCAGGAAAAGAGTGACAAAGGGGTTGTTGCCCTAATCAAAGGTCTGTCAAAAATTTTATACAGTTACCCTTTCCAAACATGAATCACAAGGATACAAAAAGACCAAAGTATGAGATTTTCAAGGGCTGAAGTAGGAAGCTCTATTAAGAGACAAGTTACTAATTCCAAACATTTCTATTCCTTCCATCTCCTAATGACAGAAACCCAAAGACCACCCTGCTCCAAAGGGAATTCCTCAACCATTTACCAGGAAAGCAACATTCCTCTCCAGTACATGCCCTAAGTCCAACCCCTCTTCTGACTTCAGCTTGCAAACCTCCTACCAATTTATTAGATGGTCTCTCTTGTCGTCCCCACCATCCCAAATAAAGTCCCTTTACATTTTTTTTCAATCTGGTTCTTAACTTTTACCGGAATCTTAAAGACAAACAGTAAGTGGGGAGACAAATCTTCCCTTGTTATTGTTCTTTTTAATCAGATACAAGATGAAAAAACAATGTTGGATAGTTAAATTAGAGGAAAGAGATCAAAGAATGTAGAGGAACATGAACCGACCTTGGTAATTGCAGCGGTAAGTGTAGTTTTCCCATGATCAACATGTCCAATTGTCCCAACATTTACATGGGGTTTTCTGTTCCATGAAAACATTAAGAAAATAAGAATACAGAATTAAGTTACAGTAGTCTGAATTAACTTAGCTTCTTCTCTTCTCCAATTGATTTAGTTTATTCTCCCACTAAATTACAAACCAATCGATAATGGAGAATGATTGGAGTTTATGCATAATAAAATAGAATGGCAAAGAAACAATGGCACCAAGATGTGCATACTATGCTGAGAAGGAGAACTATTATAAATGCAACACACGCATTCACATTTACATTCCCATTAATTACCCTTAATACCATCTGATGGACTCCACCTGAAAGTGCGTTACGGAAAACCACTAATTCGCGAGACAAACATAGGCACTGAATGGATCATCAAAAGTGGACTAACATAGTGAGCCGACAACCATATGAAACAAATACCGATGACTAAAATAATCAACTTCACCTTATCTCCAAAAAAAAAAAGGTGTCGTTAAAATTAAACACCATATCAGAACGAAAATTATTCTTTTTCTATGAAAACAACGTGCTAGAAATACTCAATGAACTCAGAGGTTCATACATGAACAGAACCCAATTAAACTGCTCAAAGATAAACACCAAATCAACTACAGACACTACTTATCATTCAAAATGCATGCAACTATGCAAATCCAACACAAACTAAAGACGAACAACACTAGTCATACAAAGGAACGTTGATGCGTAGAATCCTGTAAAGACGAAATGAATGGGAGAAAACAAATCGGAAATCTAAAACCCACAGCGTTCGAGAAGAAGCTTAATGTGTTAACCAGTTTTCAACTTACGTTCGGGTGAATGTGGCCATCGATCTCCACCATGGCCCCGCATCCGAGATTCTCTCATTTCCAAACAATGATTCAGATACGGTGAAACGATTCGAAGTTGCTCCTCGACAGCAATAGTATAGAGGTGAAGATAAGCCGATAAGGCGCCTTGAATTAGGATTTCTTAGAGCAGCTGAAGCCATGGAAGAAAGAAAGAAAGAAAAAGAAAGAAATGGAGAAAAAACGAGCAAACCCTAGAAGAATCAGAGGCGGGCCGAGAAGGGTTTAGAGGGTTTGCTTTTGTTGAAGGGTTTTAGGGAGGGGAGACCGGAGGAGAGAGCGAGCCAGATTCAGTAATTCATGTCGCTAGGTTTGTATGCACGTCAGGTTGGCACGTGTGACCCTAATACCCTGAGTCCGATTCCCGCAAGCGATGCGGATTCTTTTTTTTTATTCCCAGTTTCCCCCGCGTAGGTGGAGCTGTCAAGTGCAAATGGATCGATTCATGATTCGATCCGAAATCCAATCCTGTTTGGTTGGATTCGGATCACTCTTGAACGGATCTTCGGGTTGGATAATGGTATCCGACCAGAAATCGGATCAAATTCGGCTCACCCCTATTTGATCCAAGATTTGATTTGATATATATTATATATTTATAAATATAAATATATATAGTACATATATATGTTATTTATTTATTTATAAATATATTTTTTATATTATATTTTTATAAATTTGTTATATTATTTAATTTTTTATAAAAATATGTATATATATGATGAAAATAATTAAAAAATATTTGTATTTTTGTTTTTACTTTATTTAATTAGTGTATTTTATTTTTTTAATAATTTATTAATTTTTAAAGAAAACAAGTCATACTAGATCAAATCCGAAGATCCAACTTACTGATAGAATTCGAATTCAAATTGAGTCCTATCAGATTCAGCATGAAACAATGTTGGATTGAATTCGAATCCAATCCAATCCATTTGTATCCCTGGTCAACGGGCCGGTACATTCCTATCCCGAACCGATTATTAGTCAGGACAAAATCATAAATCCAAAATCATCCCGACTATAATCCGATTATACTTACTATAAATGTGAATGGACTGGTTCGTATTCAAAACAGATATATTGGAACCCTATCTGATAATACAAGTTTTATATTTGATCCAATCTAAATATCGGATCAGATCTCACAAACAGTCATTTAAATTTAAATCCGTTAGGGATGTTAGTCCAATTGGGTTTTAATTTATGAGAAAAATTAATAAATTATTAAAAAGAAAAATGTATAAGTATTTTTTCAATTATTTTTATCATATAAATTAACATATATGTCTTTTTTATAAAAAAAAATTGCAATATAAACATATATATATATATTACAAATTTGCAATAATATACAATAACTTAAAATTTTATTTTTATAATATAAACTTAATAAAAATGGCAATAAAATAGTACATGTCAAGGTTTTTAAAACTGACCGGATAGGGAACCATTATGGGGACTGGTTCCTGGGTTGAACGGTCCAACCATTTGATTTGAACAAATGGCTTGTTCTAACTTAAAAAAAATAAAAATAAAATAAAAGAACTGCCTAAACCATTGTTCAGTTGAATGGTTTGACCATCTGGATTAGTGGATCACTGACCAAATCAATGATTTTTGGCTAAAAAAACGGTTTTGGGGTAAAACAGAACCGATTACCTGACCGGTTATTGGGTCTCCTGGTCTAACCATCCAGCCTAATCCAGTTTGAAAACCATGGTATAAGCTAATAAATCAATTGTCTCTAATCAAATTATGTTATATATAGTCTATTAAATTAATCATGTTAGACTAAGATATAATAAAATTTACATGAAAACTAGGAAACTTTAAACTCAATAATCGCTTTGAATTTTAATCGGTTCAGAACAATAATGAACCAAAACCGACCCAAATATTCATCTGGACAAAATCACAAAACCAAAACTGATAATGTCAATTTGGTTTGATCAGGTACTACCCCATTAACTTCCCTACACATAGAGTAGGGACAACAAGTGATGCAGATTCGAATGTGATATACAAACAATGGTTTTCAAAATCGGACAGTTGGACTGAAAAAACTGGGACCGGTTTCGTTTTAACTCAGAACCATCATTTTGGTAAAAAATCATTGACTTGATCAGTAAATCGTTGATTCAGGCTGTCAAACTGTTCGAACCAACCAGCGGTTTTTGACCATTTTTTTAATTTCTTAATTTTTTTGATTGTCCGTGAACCCGATGGTTGAGATCGGAGGGAAAATTAAAAAAAATATATATATATATATATATATATATATATATATATATATATATAT